GTGTGTGATGACCGAGGGGTCGATTCCTTCCATGTCTTCTTGTTTCCAGGTGAATACTTCTCTATTCTCCTTTAGGAATTGAATGAGGAGGTCTTTTATTTCCTGGCTTAGCTTAGACCCAACGTAAACAAGGTGTTCAGGCTCCTCATCAAGCTAGACAGGCTCTAACTCCTCAGATGGTGTTGGTCTAGTGTCCAGTTCATCCCTCATATCTAGCTCATCTAGCTGGACATTCTCGACTTCCTTCTATTTCATCAAGGTCATGTAGCACTCCCTCGCTACCCGCTGGTCTCCTCGGACTACTCTAACTCTATTTTCCATAGGAAATTTCATAACCAAGTGATAGGCAGAGGGAATTACCTTCATAGTGTTGAGGGAGGGCCTTCCGAGAAGTATATTATATGCAAAAGGGGCATCCACCACTAGGAATCTTACTGTGGTGGTGGCCTGGCAAGGAGGATCTCCCATGGTGAGGACGAGCCAGATTGAGCCAAAGGGCAATACCATTTCCCCTGTGAAACCCAACAGGTGAGCACTGACCAGCTCCAGCTTTTCCCTACCTACATCTATTTTGTCAAATGCAGAAACGAATATGATATCTGCTGAGCTCCCGTTGTCAATTAAAACTCAGTAAACAATTCTATTAGCCACAACAACTCTAACCACCAGTGGATCATCTTGGGGGTACTGGTAGCCTTCTAAATCTAAGTCTGAAAAAGTGATAGCCGTGTTCAGCCGAGACGCCTTAGACACGGTGTGTATTTTCAGCGCTTCGCCAGCTTTGATTCTGCGCAGGTGCGCCTTTTGGGCAGAATTGGACTCCCCACCCCCTACGAACCCACCGAAAATTACTCTGATTTTGCCTAAGGGTTGTTGGTGTAACACAGGAGCTTGTTGCTGAGGTGGTGGAGGTGGAGGGACTCGGTCCTGATTATTCCGAGCTACATAATGGCATAACTGACTCCTCTAGATTAGGAATTCAATCTTTTTCTTCAATTTGGCACAATCATCAATATGGTGGCCATGATCTATATGGTATTCGCAATACTTTGTGGGATCCCTCTTTGCTGGGTCTACTTTCATTCAAGGTGACCATCTTAGAAACTTCTCGCTTTGCACCTCGTATAAGATCTGAGATATTGTTGCGGTGAGTGGGGGGAGCTGCCGAGGTGCATACCTTGGCTGTAGCTCTGGCCGTGGCGGACCTAAGCGATCTCTGACATCTCTCCTCCTTTTGGGAGAGCGATCTCTGTCCCTTCTTGGAGACCTATTACGCCCTCTTTTTCTTCTAGGACTTCAGTCCCCTTCCTTTCCTCTTTCCCTTTGTCTTTATGCGTAGATGAACTTCCCACTTTTGAGAGAAGGGCCTCTTCACCATTTATGTATTTTTCTGCCTTAGCCAATACCTCTGCCATGCTTGCCTGAGGATTCTTTGAAATAGAGAATATCAGATCTTTGGACTATACACCCAGACTAGCTATAAAGGCTGTAATGGCGAACTTCTCATCTGGGACATCCACTTTCAGTGACTTTGAGTTGAACCGCTGGACATAAGACCTAAGGTTCTCTTGGGGGTCCTTGCTTCACGTTCAATAAATGGTAGCTCGGCTTCCGATATATCTGAGCTCTTATGAAGTGAGATATGAAGGATATAGAAAGCTCTTTAAAGGAGGAGATTGAGGCCGAGGGGAGCCTGTTGAACCATGTCAGGGCTGACCCTTTTAGCGTGATGGCGAAGGCTTTGCGGCGCACTGAATCTTGGTATCCATGGAGCTCCATCTGGTTTTATAAATATTTAAGAGGTCCATGGGATCCTTTGTCCCATCAAACACTTCTATCTGCGGCATTCTAAATTTTGGGGGAGGGGAAAATGCAACACCCTTGCGGAGAATGGCGACTCAGTTTGTTGTACTAGGGCGTCCATTGTAACTGGAACCTTGTTCTTCACAACTTCTTTCATATGATTGAGCTCTTGCTGGATGCTATTAAAACGTTGCTCCCAGTATTGCTTTCTCCTCTCCTGTTGATAGGGGAAAAAATCATTCCTTTCTTCCTCAACATTTTGACTTTGCACCTCTTCGTTGCGTCCATTCCTTGGGGGTGGATGAGGATCTTGTCCCCAGGTCTGACTATTTTTTTCTCTTTCACCAACTTTTCTGAGGGGGTCGAGATGTTGCTGCCCTCTGTGAGGAGGGTTATTCTGGCCTTCTTGGGCCGATCATGCCTCCTTAGGGAGTTGCAAGAGCTTCAAGAGCTCTTCATTCTACTGTATCAAACGTTGGTTAACTAGACGAAGAGCCTCCAACTCATTATTTGCGTGGGAATTCCCCATTGGGGGATTCACCCCTAGGACATTTTCAGCCTATCTATCGTTGGTGGTTTCCTGTTGTTCTTGCATTCGTGGTAGATTGGTCTAGCTTCTACTTATGTTACGGGTCGAAACCATTAGTCACTGAAAGATCAGCGTATTTGTAACAGGAACAATCATTCCCACAGACGGCGCCAAACTAATGGTGTAAAACCACGTTGATGAGCAAAAGGGCAGGTGACGTGTGATGAGCGTGGATTAGAGCTATAAGGCTCGTGTGTGATGTTGGAACAAAATGCAGAGGGGATTTTAGGAGTGCACATAGTGAAAATATAGTGGTTCACCGGCTCAGGAGCTCGGCTAGTCGACTTCTTCAATAGAGACTCTTGCTCCCTCTCCTCTATTCACCACTCAAATGTATTACAATTACGTATATCTCGAAATTAGGTTTTTTTCTCTCCTCCTCTCTATGGAGGCGTTACATAGTATTTATATGACTATTTCCTATTCTGTAGGATCTCAGCGAGATCTTCGCCTGCCATTAGCGGGATTTTTCTTGATTTTAGGAGCGAATCTTGGTTGGTTAAGAGTCTCATGCTTTGAACTCAATCTTCGCGGTTATCCAACTGTTTCCTGGTCAGTTCCACTATCATCTCTCCAAGGGGAGCTCGGGCCTTGGACTTCTGAGCTCCTCGTATCCTACCAGACCTCGTTTCCTGAGCTCGCTCTTATAACTTATTTGAGGTATCATCAGGTCTTATTTTGTTATGCAGATTAAACAAAAAAAAAAAGTTAACGATTGTGGCATTGTGAAATTCAAACCCAAAGTCTAAGTTCTAGTGTGAGAAAGTTGATAATATAAGGACAATGTGAAACGAGCAACCTAATTCAGGCACTCTTAATGTAATTTACCCCTTTTTTATATAGATAATTGAAATCATCCTAACATAAAACTATTAATAATGGACACTCGATATTAGTGATTAAGGGAAGTATTCGCAGCTTATTTTACAAGGGATAGGTTTAATATACCACGAATAAATTCTTTGTCATAGGGAAAAAGTTAATGGTGGCAAAAATTGACAAAAACCTAAGTTAGGAGGACATTAACTTCCCCTGACTAATGGCTTTGTGGGTTTGCATCTTGTCTACTTTCTATGTTTTCTCCTTTTCTTTTCGGACTTGTTTGTTTAACAGGAGAATGATAGAAAATATAAGAAAGAAAATTTTTTAAAATTTTAATGTGTATGGTAAGCATGAAAAGAAAAATGATAGAAAAAATAATTTTCTTTCATGCTTGAATTTTTTCACAAATAACTAATTTTTTTTTCTTATAAAAAATACAAAGAAATACAAGAAAAATTGTGATCTATAGTTAACTTCTCATTTTACCCTTATTTTTCTTAAAATATTTTATTAGATATTAATTTTAAAATATTTTGGTATGAATTTGATTAATCATATAATATTTGGGCCAAAAACTTTTAAGTTGGTGATTGTATTAGAATTAGGTTTCGAACCACTTATTAAAAAAAATTAATGTTCAATTGTAATTACATATTTTTTTTCTTTTTAGACCAATTTAATATAATTAAGAATAATTTAGATAATTATAAAAAAAATTTTATAACTTTACTTTATTTCAAACAATAAAATAATTTTGTTTTAAATTTTTTTATAAATTTTTTAATCTAATCAAATATATGTATGAAAATATATTTTTTATTATTTTTTATTCCTAACCAAACGGAGGTTCAAGACTCTAGAAACCCAATAGTCAACATCTATTGGCTAATAAGAAAAGCGTCAACCCTTCTTGTCTCTTGTCTATTCGCTCTTAATTGTTTCTGGGTCCTTTTTTATTTGTACGTTTAAATTTAGTCACTAACCAACGGGTTTCTGGAACTCAATAGTCAATAATTTACGCTACAATCGTTGACAAAGAAATGAATGATTGATAATCCAATTGTACGATGAAATTGACATTAAACCTCAATAGTCAAATGCTTATTTAATATGGAAGACAATTGAATATGAAGTAATTGTTTTGTGGGCAAACTATATTTTTCCTCCCTCATCTATGGGGTCTAATCTCACTTTACCCCTTCAAGTATTGACTTTCTCATGTGTTTTTTTTTTTTGGGAAGGGGGAGAGAGAGGGGAAAGAGGCTTGAACCCTTAAACTTAAGAAGACAAGACCTTCATAAAATAAAGAATATCATTAGACCAAAAACCCGTTGATTAACTTTCTCATGTTGTTCTATTAACTATTTGAATTTATATGACACAACCCCCAAGTCAAATGCCCATCATATTTTCGATTAAAAAAATGACAAGATTTATAGGATAACACAGATTTCCAATGTCTACAATTTGTGCAATGAAAATCAATAGTTATAGCTTTATGGTGCAAAAAAAAAAAAAGCAATAGTTGAGGGGTAATGTGAAATCAAAATTTTACTTTGAGGTACAACGTGAGAAATATAACAGTAGAGGGGGAGTGTGAAAAAAACACATGGTTGAAAGATCATCGCATAAGATTTACTATTGGTAATGTAACCTCAATATTCAACGATTCTCGACTATAAATAGAAAGCACACCTATTCCCCTTGCTTCACATGCAACACCCACATACTTCTTGCATCCTATCCATTGTCTGAATCGCAGAGAGAGAAAGACCATAACAGAAAAATGGCGATCACTACCATTACCACTACCACTACCAATCCAGGCCAACACTACAATAGATTCGAAGAAGCAAAAAAGTTAGATGAATCAAAAACCAGAGTCAAAGGCCTCGTTGATCCAGGCCTCACCACTATCCCTCACATCTTACACCACCCACCTCAAAACTCACCCAACCCAAAACCCTCAACTCGAAACCCCAAACTATCACTCCCCATTGTCGACCTCTCTAGCACCCGGTCAACAGTGGTTGACCAGATCCGTCACGCTGCCTCAACCATTGGGTTCTTCCAAATTATCAACCATGACATACCAAAAATTGTCATGGACCTTATGCTCTCATCTATCAAGTCTTTCCATGAATTACCAGACACCACTAGGATGCAATGTTATGGTAGAGACATGTCTCATGGTGTTGCGTACTATACTAACGTTGATTTGTACAAGTGCAAGGAAGCTAATTGGAGGGATTCACTGGAGGTCTGCTTGGGCCCCACACCTCCGGAACCAGAATACGCTCCAGAGGTATGCAGAGAAATAGTGGCAAAGTGGGACAGCGAGTTGGTGAAGGTGGGGGAGGTGTTGACAGGGATGCTGTGTGAGGGATTGGGGGTGGAGAGTGAGAGGTTTAAGGAAATGTCATTTTTTGATAGAAGGAATATGTCTGGATATTACTATCCGTATTGTCCCTAGCCGGAGTTGACAGTGGGTCTCAAGTGGCATACGGATCCGGTGGGGTTGACGGTGTTGTTGGTGAATGAGGTTAGGGGGTTGCAAGTGAAACATGTTGAGGATTGGATTGATGTGAAGCCTGACCCTAGTGGTCTCATTGTCAACATTGGTGATATTCTTCAAGTAAGTCATTCAATCATATGTTTGCCAAACTTTTTCTTAGTTACAAGTCCTGAGAGTACATGAACCACTATTATAAGTCTAATATCCATTACCCATATCTATTAATGAATAAAATATTTTTCTTTGTTTTACTCATATCAATATGCTGAGCAATAAATCATTATCCTTACTCTCAAATTCAATAAAATGAAACACGGAAAGTAAAATCTCAATGGCTTTCTAGAGACATAATTGTTTCTTAAGTCACTATTGTAGAAATTTATTATCAGAGAGTATCGGAAATAATAAAATAAAGAAAAACAAGATACAGAGAATTAACGTAATTCGACATACTATGCCTACTTCCACGGATTTAATGCCCAATAGGGTACATCAATGTGTTATTCTTCGGTGATTGATTATATGAGGCTCAACTCTATTTATATGGTAAGAATTACAAAAGATAAACATAAATCTCATATTCCTATTATCATCAATATTTTTTCAAATAGTCCTAGATATCGATGGATCTCAGATCTTATCGTATCTCTACCTAGATATTGATGGATTCCTTCTAATCCTATTATATCTCTAATAACTGTCATATTTTAGAAGCACATATTATGAGTACCACAATCACAATCTATACTTATTTGTAAGTAAAAATCAATTACTTTTTGAATTGTTATTAAAGAAGCCCTGAAAGTAGTTTATTTAATTTTGTTATCAGATTCTAACAAATTGAACCATTTCACGGTATAACTGGAGGACACATATTGTAGTTGAGCTCTGACAGGTTTGGGAGGCACCCTCCAATGGCATATTCTGGAAAATCAGGAATTAATGGTTTTAATTAAATATATGCTCTTGTCCAATTTGTAGGAAGCCACATGTGATTTTGAAGAAACTGTATGTAATTTCGAAAAGTTCTTTTAAATTTTCTAAGTTTCTCAGTTTAGGCAAATAGTAAGGTATTAGTTCATTTATAAGACAAGTTTGTTCCTTGGGTTGTTTAACTCTCTTGTGCAGATGATATCCAACGATGAATATAAAAGTGTGGAACATCGAGTGTTGGCGAACCCCTCTCGTGAGCCACGAGTCTCAATTCCAGTATTCTTCACTTCAAGAATGACAGAGAACATGTACGGGCCATTATCAGAAGTAGTGTCTCCAGAGAAGCCGGCGGCTTATCGTCAATTCACAATCTCAAATTTTATGGAAAAATACTACTCGGAGGAGTTGCGTGGCAAGTCTGTGATGAATGCATACAAAGTCTCCAACATATAAGTGCAGGTGTTGGACAAAGAAGGAAATAATATATGATTTACTTAAAATATACTCTATTGTAATTTTCAAAAGAAAAGGATAAATAACTGAAAATAAAGTGCTATTGAAAAATAGTCGATTGTAAATCACTTCCAATACTTTTTCTTTCAATTTCGTTAAAGGATATATCTCCTGCCATTTATGCATGTTTGACCTACTATTTATAAGAGGATCTCCAATCATATATGATGCACAATTTACCTATTAAAGAAAATTTAAGAAAAAGTGTTAGAGGATATTTCACTCCAAAATAGTTGCATTTTAATGTGTGTATGCACTTGTATTGTATGTTCCAAAAGAGTTACATTTTAATATGTGTATTCCCTTGTATTGTATGTTTCTCAGAAGATTATGCAGTAATAAAATTTTATAGAACTTATAATGACATTTTGTCACTGATGAGACTACACACTATTGGACTTATTCAAAGAATATCCCAAAATATAATTGTGTCGGCATCAATTATCTAACCCCGAAGAAACCCAATTAGGTGCTGCAGCCAACAGTTGTGGCGCAGAAAAAATCTGAAAGAGAAACAAAACAAAGGTAATGAATAAAATATTCTATAAATGTGGACAGATTTTCTTGGTTAATAACAATGCCCTGTATCGTTGTAATTAGGGATGACAGAGAGAAAAATAAGTATTTGTCAAAATCTGTCCTGGTTAGATTTAAGATGGATCATATGTATTAGACAGTGAAAGTATACAAGATACCTATATAAACTCGTGTGAGAATAGACTGAAATTCATCCCCGTCCCCTACATTAAATTCGCCTCTCAAAATTTTTATTACAATAATTTGGACATATAATTCAATCCATAACATTAAAAACTTATAAATTAAAAAATAAAAAAATACTCAAAAGTCAACTCTTATTTACTCCCACTCTTTTCACTCTCTCTCTCTCTCTCTCTCTCTCTCTCTCTCTCTCTTTTCCGCTTTGTGGTAAAAAATAAAAACAAAAGTTAAAATCTCTTTCTCGACAATATTAATACATCCTACTTTTGTCTCCCTCTCATATATAAAATTAAAAATAAATTAATTTTTTTTTAAAAAAATAATATTAAAAATTAAAGACCTTCATTTAATATTTATGTTTTAAGCCTCAAATTGACTTAAGTCGCCCCTGTAGCCACCGGCGTCCCTTTCTCTTCTCTCTTCACCAAAACCCTCTCTCTTCACAGCAACACTATTGAAGCACCATCAGAGATATAGTAATCAACCATCGACAATCTTGAAGACTCACCCGGGTATCCCTCCCCCCACCCTCTCTCTCTCTCTCTCTCTCTCTCTCTCTGCATATGTCTCCCCTTACCACAATCACCCTTTCCTTCCCTCTCCCCTCTTCCACCGAAACTCATAACAACCCACCAAACATCCTATATATTCAAAGCTAAACTCTTACCTATAGTCAACTAACACCTCCATCCCCTTTCCCCCAGTCCCCACCACTGCCACCTAAACCTTCCTAGCCAACAAACGTCTCCCCACCCACACACCCACACATTGCTACCAAAATCCATCACAGTTACCGAAACACCAAGTGTTTGTATTATTACTTCAATAAGTGGGCCAATATTATCCTTATTTTTTAGCAAACTTACTTTGTTTGCTGTAGCGACCATCTACAGCACGACGACGTAGCTCCAGTGATCAACAGTGACATAACTCCACCCGGACGTTGATCTCCAAAAAAAGTGGTTTATTTGTTTGGGTTTGTTATTTTTTTAATTTTTTACATATTTTTAGGTTATTTACAATATTTTTATGTACGTTCTAGGATATAAGAACCTAAAATTGGTTCAGGCTAAGTGGTCCTTTGTGAACAAGGATGAGTTCATCTATTTTTTTGTATTTGTTTTGTCCAAAAACTGCAAAGAATTTCAAAAGAACCAAGGAGCCCTTTTCATCAAGAGCCAAGCCTTTTATTTTTTTGGCACATTTGGGAATGGTTTGAGTCAAAAGAAAACAAAAATGACAGGAACTACTGTGAGGTGTATGCACGATGTTTAATGAGTTCTCTATACTGCTATTCAATGTTTTTCAGGTTGTAATGTCTATGTTTTTAAATATTATTTCCTCTCTAAAAAATTTCAAATCTTGACTTCAATTTAATGCTTTGTACGCATTCATAAATTTTGCAAGTTAACACTATTCTTGCAGTATACTGAAATTCAACTTGATTTGTTGCCAACTTGATATATTATTTGGCTTGGATTGTAGTTAAAAATAAGCTCATCTTCTTGAAGCGGTAACGATGGTTGTTGAAAATATGTGTTTAGGTTTGGAAGTTATAATGTTGGTGGTCTTAGTCATGATAATTAATCTCGAAGGCGTGATAGATGGGTGGTGGTGGGATAAAGTTCTTGGGACAAATTTGTGCGACATAAAATTAACTTAATTGATGAAATTTGCTTTGAATTGAATAGAAAATTAATTTAAATAGTTGACTTAGTTAGATTTAATTTCAATTTAAGCACAAAATTTGATTAGTTATTAAAATTTAGGCTAAGTTGTAATAATGGTAATAGTAGTATTATGGGTAATAGTTTTGTATAGTTATCAAAATTTAAATGGAGGTCTTTTTATTTTTAGTATTATTTTTAAAAGAAAATAATTTATTTTTAATTTTCTATGTAAGAGAGAGATAAAAGTAGGATGTATTAATATTATCGAGAAGGAGATTTTAACTTTTGTTTTTGTTTTTTACCATAGAGAATGAGGGAGAACGTTTAATTTCAACTTTTAAGTTTTTTTTTTATTTTTTTTACTGGATGGAGAGAGAGATAGAGAGAGAGAGAGACATAGAGAGAGTAAATAAGACTTGACTTTTGAATATTTTTTTAATTTATATATTTTTAATGTTATGGATTGGATTATATGCCCAAATTATTGCAAAAAAATTTGATTGAATTTAATTTTTTAGAACTTTTTTGTAGTGTCTACAATTTAATTGATTTAATTTTTTGTGGGCGAGTGATAAACCTAAAATTATTGGGCCTTCTAAAAATTTGGGACTTAATGCCCATGTTTTTTTTTTTTTTTTTCATAATATTGGGCTGGCCTGTGTGGCTATTCATTGGGGCAAAGATCAAGAGGAGGAGCAAAAAAAGAAAGAGAGGGAGACAAAGGAGAAATGAGATATCTGAAATAATTGGGTGAAAAGATCGAAGTGGATGTAGGTGATAAAGGAAAGTGAAGTAAATAATATAGTATCATCATTATATTGAATATTTAGAAGTTGTGATATGAAAAAATGATTTTTCTAATATGGAAAGGATAATATTTAAAAAAGTATGAGCGGATGTCAAAATTTAAATATGGACGTTAATTTTAGATTTAAATAGACTTTTTGATTTAGATAACATTGATTTTGGGCGAGATTGAGAGGCGAATTCAATGTAGGGGTGTTAATTTTGGAAACTACAAATTTTGAGTAGTATAAATATTTCAAAAGAGCTAATGTGGTACGTCAGATCAAAAAGATCTGAGATGTCAATAACTTAAGACAGTTTGAGATAACACTGTTTGTTGAATGATGATTTTTTTTTTTACGAAACGATCTTGACCACTATTTGTCTCCAAAATTTAAAATTGTTCTACTTTATTTTATATATATATATATATATATATATATAATAGGGTTAAATGCAAAAAAAATAAAATAAAGCCCTTATACTTATGGTCATTTACACGTAATCCCACGTGATTTTAACTGTTGTACTCAACCACCCTCAATACAAAAATAACATGCAAAAACGGATGAACGTTATTAATTTAACATGTGAATCGCGCGCTCAAAAATGCAGGTGAGTGTAAACTGTGTCAAAATTATAATGCATAATTCCTAAAATACCCTTAAAGACCCTGCCTTCCCCAATCCAGCCATATATTTTTTTGTCTTGCTCTGCTCCTCCCTCTCTCTGTCTCTCTACAAGCCCTTTTTTCCCTTCCCAGCAAAATCCACCACCTGCAACTCTCCCTTCCTGATGATCAAATTACAGATATTTTTATCAAACCACTTAAATCCAATGCATTCTTGAAGCTTAAGCGGATGATGAAGATCATCCAAATTGAAGAGTTTGGTTAAGAGAGGTTGTTGGAGTCTAACCAAAACTCTCATAATATTTTATTTCTTATTTATTTTGTATTAGTTTGTAATTAAAGTTTTAATGAGTTTAGAATTATTGACCCATAAAGTATTTTAATTAGTTTTGTGTAAGTTAATTAAAGATAAATTATGATTAATTTATTAATTAAAGTTTTAAGTCTTCTTGAGGGTTGTAACAAAAACTCTATGGCAGAAAGTTTTTTTTTGGGTTTGACGTTAAAGCCAAGCTCCTCGGTTTTTTTTTTTTTTTTTGTTTTGTTGTTGTTGTCTTGCCCGTAAGCTTCGGCTTGCTTTGTCTTCTTCCTTAAGTTTTTCTTGATTAATTATTTTGTGTGTGTGAGAGATATTTGAGTATTTAATATTTTTTGATCTTATAAGGGAATTAGCGATACAGAATATTGAGAAAATGTCACATTTACAAATATCGTCTTAGCCCTCAAATTTTCTTAATTAAGTCGCCCCTAGGCCCTTCATTTTAGTTTTTGGTCTTGGTAAAATTTTTTGGCCTTCTTGAAAATTGAAATTTTGAAATTCAACTGAATTTTTTTTTTGTACTTTTTTATTTTAGTTAAAATTTAATTTTATTTATGTACATGTTACTACAAGAAAAATCACTTTTAGTCGTTAAATTTAAATTGTAGTTACAAATATTGCCACTGAATGAATATGTTTAGTGGCAAAAAATTATTATCGCCATTGAAGGTATGATATTAAAATTATTTAATGGCCACAATTATTTGTCACCACTAATTAAAGATATATAATTAATGGTGGAAAAGTATTGTTGTCACTGAAGATATGTCAGTAAATCTAATTATTGACAATTTAAATGTTGCAGCAAAAATATATTACTAATTCATCACTACTTCCAAATATTTATTGACAATAATTTAAATTTAGTCACCAATAATATAAAAATTTAGTGATAAAATTTTTTAATTGCATCAAATATGCCCTGTTTTTAAGTTGCAATTTTTTTTTCTTGCCACTGAATGGGCAAAAATTTATGGATTACCGGTGTTTATAAATAACTTAACAAATTTAACCATCGTTTCACATTCACCTCCCACCATGTCACTTCTTCACACCGTTGCTCTCTCGATCGATCGATCTCGATCTCTTAACTTCTTCGTCATCACGATGCCCACTGGCTTGAAGCCTCCTTCAAAGACACCTCTTTCTCCACCGCCCTGGTTGTTGAGAAGGCTGAGCTCATTTCGAAAATCGCCGAGAAGAAGATTAAGGTGCCATCATCGTTCTCACTGCTTAGGTTAGTTTATTTTTGTTCTATTTTGTCAAATAGAGTATTCTTGCTATGTTTTGACTGGATTTCGCCCTTTGGATATCCTATATGTTTTGTTTGATTAATCTCAGTTGGATTTACTCATGTTTGGATCTATCGAAGTTCCTATTATTCAGTGCATAATGGAAAATTTTCTAGAACTGTGAGGTAAATTTTCTAGAATTTATATAATACTCATTTATTTGATTGATAAAGCCCATCTACTTCGTTAATTTTAGTGAAGATCTTGTTTGATTCGTTGAATTTTGTTAATTTTGATGTTTTAGTTTGACCTAAGGTTTGTGATTTGGACATCTTTCTTGTATGGGCAATGAAGGCTCTGATCTACTGGATTGGTTTCTGTTTAATAGGGATGATGACAGTCTCACATCTATTATTTTATTATGAATTTTCAAGTTTTCAGTGAATTGAGAATCTTTTTATCCACAAGATTCTCAATCTTTTTATCAATGGGCAATAGCACTTATTTCTTCTATTTGTTTGTCTTCTCTTATGAGTTTGGTTTTTGATTAACGAGGTCAAGGAACAAGTGAGGGGAAAAGGGCTTTGTACCACTGCAATTATTGCAACAAAGATATAACAGAGAAAACTCATATCAAATGTGCTGTATGTTCTGATTTTGGCCTCTGTATCGAGTGCTTCTCTGTTGGTGCTGAGGTGAATCTTCATAAGAGCAATCAACCCTGTAGGGTTATGGTATGTGACAATCTAGGTTTTAATTTTTTAATACCTTGCCAGTGTATAAATTGTTCTGTTATTTTTAGTGACAACAATTAAATGTCAATGTCATAACTAAATGAATTAGCTAAACACATATTGCCGCGGCCTAGTGACAATAAAAAAGTTATCACTAAAGTATATAGTGACAATTTTTATATATTTAGCCACAACAATTTTCGCGGCTAAAAAGCAAATTTCTTGTACTGCATGATAATACTTGCACAACTTTTAATTTCCATGAAAGAAAAGAAAGTTGACGTGGGTCGATCCACGTGATTCATACAAAAATTTCTCCAGGAAAAAGAAAAGAATTATCGAATCACTCTGCGTGTTGGTTTCACCTGAAGAATAAAGTAATGTTAATTATACTTTGCCTCCCTAAGTATGAGGTCAGTGTCATTTTATCTCCTCAACTATCACATTTTTGTAATGGAACCTTTAATTATAGTTATTAGTTTCACTTTACCCCAATGAATAATCTATATTAGAATTTTGATGGATAATTGTTTTATTTTGCTCCCTGAACTATGTTATTTTGTTTTATTTTGCTTGACACATCAATATTTTTTGGGAATTATAATGTTTTGGTCTGGTTTTTAGCTACGGCTTGGTAGAGACAGCAGTGGCGCAAGTTCTGGTGGATTACATTTCCGATCTGTTGGGGGGCACAAATCTTCGCATATATGCGGCAATTGTGAACCTAATGGACGGATTGTGCTCGGTTTTGATCATTGTTGTAGCTTACCTGGCAGATACCTGCATAGGTCGTTTCAGAATGGTCTTGCTTTGCACTGCTGCCTATATCGTTGTGGGTGCCGATCCATACATTTTGCCCTATACTATTGTTTTAACCATAATGGGTTCTCTCTCTCTCTCTCTCTCTCTCTCTCTCTCTCTCACACACACACACACACACGCATTTCTGAATTTTTTTAGTGTGATAACTATTTTAATTATTTTTCTTTGGTATAATAAAAATTATTCCTATTGCGGGTGATTTATCACATTTGTGAAATTTTTACCATTGTTATGAATGTTTTTGTCATCGTTGTGGTAACTATTTTTATTATTTAATTGTGAAATAACTAAATTAATTGAACATAAAATAAATAACACAAAACTGAATTAAAGAAATTTTAGAGAATGCTTCACGACTCTCTTTCTTTCAAATTTTTTGGCCTTTTTCATTGAATCTGAAGAGTGCCTTTTATAGGCGAAGAGGCAAACTAGGGGAGACTGAAAATTATGCTCTATATTAAATTTTGGAGTAAATTATATTTTATCCCTTAAACTATTATCTTTATTTTACTTAACACCCTTAACTATAAAAGTTTTCATATTATACCTTGAAGTATTAATTTTGTTTTATATCACTCTAATAAATAATGACAGACTTGAAAATTTGGCAAAAGATAGAGGGAAACCCCCAGAGCTTCCCACAAAGTGTCTCGTACTACTTTATTCTATCTCTTTTGCAACCAAATGGTTGCTGTGAAGAAAATGAAGGTTGGCCAGAGGAAGAAAGTTTGAAACTTAGGAAGAAATTACTTATTGGTAATACAAATTACTCACCTGCGTATTTAACAATCGTTATTTATTGGAGTGATATGAAATAAAATTGATGTTTTAGGGTACAATGTGAGAAAATTTATAATTGAGAGTACAAAGTAAAATAAAAGTAATAGTTTAAAGGGATAAGGTGTAGTTTATCCTAAATTCTATTGCTATTCATTTATGTATAGTAATGTGTGATATTCAATAATATTTGACACTATGTTTCGATAGTTGTACATAGTAGTCATCCACAATAGGCATAGTATTTATAACACATTTTAAATACAGGCCCCATGCACTTCTCACAAAAAAGAATTGTTACGTAGTCCGCAAACCCTTCTTGTAGCCGACCTATAAAATCGGATCACGTATTTTTTTAATTTGTCATTGATGTATGTGTATTCTTGAAAATTGACAAAACCTTGAACGCCAGCTGGTTCATTTTTTCAGCTTGTTGAGTCATTGTTGCAGGTGTTGGTGTTATTATTCTTTCCAGGAAATCCTCCATTTGAGAGGCTTTGTGTAGCCGTGATGCTAATAGGAATTGGGCAAGCAGGACGGAAACCATCTTTAAAAGCATTCCTTGCTGATCAATTGAAGAAGAGGGTCCAATGTCTGAGCCAAGCTGATCAAGAAGTGGAAGACCTTATAAGACATTGGTGGCGGTGTTTTCGCTTTTGGGCCGCTGCTGCTGTATTTCTGGTCGCCGGATTTCGTGGTTCTTGGCCGATTAGGCTCACAGTTTCAGCGAGCGTGATGGGAGATACTTTTATATTGCTTTTGTTGGGTATCCACCACTACCATTATGTACCACCAACGGGTAGCCCCGCTTTCGCTTTGGCTTATCGACATATTTCGCGAAGTGAAGGGTGTTATATTTAACAAGCATCTCCCCCACCCACCAGCTCATGACTGTGAGATTGTTGAAAATGATCCTGAAGAAAAAACATCGGCAAGTGAAAATCCATTGAACAGGTCCCTCTTCCCATTCTTATTTCTGTGATTTTATTGTTGTTATTTATTGAGTAAAGTAGAGATAACTCGTGACTAAAGACATGGTAAATAATTGATTTGGGAGAGGGGAGGAAAATTCAATAAGAATAGTTTTGAGAGAGATATTGGTGGCCGTTGGATAAATTTATTTAAGTCCGTCAGATGAGCTTATTGAAGTATGTCTTGTTTTATATTATAAAATTAGGGTTAATTGCACTGAAGGTCCCCAAAGTATGAGGTTTGTTTTATTTTATTCTCCAATGTTCCAATTGCATTATTTTAAGCCATGAAATATTAAATATGTTTATATATGGTCTCTCAAGCAGACAACGTCCAAACTGCTAATAATTTTTTATCATAAATTTGTTACGTAATATTAAAATATGGATAAAAAATAATTTTAATAGCTCTTAAGCAAAATTTAGGTAGCTCTTGACAATGGGTAGCTTTTGACCAAAATTTGGATTGTTCATGATTAAAACTATGTAATTTAGTTAACTATTTAACTAAAATTTGAGTAAAAATTTGGTCAAGAGTTATCGAAATTATTTTTTTTTAACATTTAAGTATCACATGACAAGTTTATGATAAAAAAAATTATTAGCAATCTAGACGATGTCTACTTGAGGGATTGGACCATATAGGTTTGTATTCAATACTTCAAAAACCAAAATGATGCAATTGAAATATTAAGGATCAAAATGAGACAAACCGTATACGTAGAGAACCTCAAGTGCAATTAACACTTATAATTATATTAAATTGAGCAAATTTTAAAAAAAAAACCTCTAATATTTGATTTCATTAGACGCACACCCATCACATGTAAGAATTACAGCTAATAATGCAATTGTTAGTTAGTGATGAGGTAAAAACCAGCTTAGTAAATAATGGGAAAAGCTCTAACACAAAGATGCTTATACAAAGGGCTCTGGTGAAAGAGTTGAAGACCTCCACTGTGAAATGGAAGGCAATATACCTAGCTTAGTAATCAACTCCACACCTTCTAGATGAGCTACGACGAAGGATAAGGTAGGAACACTATAAGTGATGGTGCTCAAAATTACTAAGCCCAAGTGCAGAACAACGGTTGTGTAATGCCAATGAGGGAAGTGTGAATATTTGGGTTAATAAGGAAGTAAGGGGTGATGTCGGATTAAAAACAAGATATTAAGTGGTTCACCTTCGCCGAAAAACCAATGGTTACATCCACTACAATGGAGACTCTTGCTCCTTTGTCTATATTGCTTGAAGAAGAAGATTACAATGGGTTTGTTGGGTTATACCCTTTGTACAACATATATGGTGACTGCAATATTTTTTTTGGAACTCCCTTATACAGTGCATCCGTATTCTATTTATACATGTGGGCATCTAGGGTTTTTTGCGATTCCTTCATTTCCTAGCCTGACTCTGTGGTCCCCTCTTCCTTTGTTTTGTAGTGGTGTCTGCCATCCTAATGCAAGTTGTGCCCACGATCCTTAAAACGGTATATGTACAAATATTCCCTTTATTAGGAAGTGCGTGTTCATTAAGGGCTCCAAAAGTTGTCCTCCTGTCCCCTGGACACCTGGCATAATGGGAGATGCTCGGGATCTAGCGAGTATCGAGTTCCTTGTTCTTGGGCTGGTCTCTGCCGAGCTTAATGTGACCGAGCAAGCATATACTGATCTGGCATCAATGAAATCCCTTCCTTGGATTGTGGCCCACCCCTATGCTGGGATGGGCAGGCTACGAATAGGCTGTTTGGGCTACCATCTAACCAGGGGGCCCATTGGGTGTTTTGGGCTTTGGATGGGTAGCCCAAGCCAAAACCTATCATTATCAATAAGTAATTCAAAATAAAAAACGATAAAGACGAATCCTTTTGTAAGAAAGGATAGCTAGCATCATCATATAAAAAGATAAGGGAGTCATCTCTCATCGAGGAGAAGCCTAATCCTCCCAACTAACAGATGAGGGAGTCAAAGATTTCTCCCTCTGAAAGAGTCTTCTCCTCCTAACCAGCTGATAAGGGAGCCTAAAGTTCACTCCCAAGAAGAATTGTATCCTCTTAAATGGCAAATAAGGGAGATTATAGTCCACTCCCGCAAAGATGTTAATCCTCATGCCAATAAAAAGAGCTCGGTGGGGGGAATAAGGGATATTATAGTCCAGAATATTGACTTCAGTATCGGATGATTGACCCCAAGAGCTCCTCCTCCAGTCTCTGACTTCTTTTTTTAGGTAATCGGAGCCAAGCAAGCTAACTTGAGGTTGCTAAAAAATTATAGCAATAGTTTGGTGTCATCTATAAGAAAGGACAAAAAATTCTTTTCATTCTCATAATCTCTTGAAGTTGGAAATTATAAATGGTGACCACTAGGCCAATGGAGGATACTAGAAATAACATTTCCTAGAGAACAACATTCTCAAAAGTAGTTGGAAGAAGTTAATCATGAAAGAGATACCTATAGGTTCAACAAGTGGTAGGAGGCCTACAAAATGCTTATTCTAGAAAGAAATTATGATAGAATGAATCAAACCATAAAGGGTTTGTCCCAGAAAACCCAACAGATTATCTTGATGCTTACTAGCCAACCTCTAGAGTATGTGTCCCATTCTGGGGAAACCCAACGTAATTAGGGGAGAAACACCAAAGATGGGCCAAAAGTTTAGGGAAGTAAATGGTCGCATTTGAAATGTACTCAATACAGTGAAAGCTAGAATCCCTAAAGTAGTGGAAACCCTGGACCAATGCATGGAGTCCACTTTTTTGCATGATGTAACACATTGCCCTTTGCCCCCCAAATTCGAACTACCTATAATAAACAAGTTTGATGGAAAAAAAAAACACCCTTTGGATCACCCTTATATCATGTGTCGAGCATTTCCCAGTACATTGAAGGGAGTAGTTTGCCTATGTTTCAACAAGCTCCCCTTTTTAGGTTCCATTGACTCATTCATCCGATTGAGTAAAATCTTTCCAATCTCACTTTCATGGGACGATGAGCTCATCAAAAGCCAGAAACTTACATACTAAACTTGAAGAAAGGAATGGGAGAGTCGTTTCATCATTACGTGGCATGTTTCACTAAAGAACCTCTGCAAATCAAAAACATGGATGGCAAGGTAACCCTAACTGCCTTCATGGAAGGACTTCATGCCTCTAGGCTCTTTTTTTCATTTTTTTAGGTAAATTAGGCTCTTGTTTTCACTTGAAATAGTTGTGAATGAAAAGGGATACTCAAACTAAGTAGAACCCTGTATATATAGCTAAATAATAGTACAAAGTGACCTAAAAATCCTTGTGGTCTAGGCAAAATATAAAAGTCATAGTAAGTATTAAAAAGGAAAAAGAATAAACTAGAAGAAACCTTAATAAACTAGATTATACTCCAACACTCCTCCTCAAGCTAGGTAAAAAAATATCAACTAAGTCAAGTTTGACAATGGAGTACTGGAGAATGGATAGAGTGACAGGTTTGGTGAAAACATTCGCAACCTGATCATTGGTTCCCACAAACAATAGAGTGATAATACCACAGCTAACCTTCTCTCGAAGAAAGTGAATATCAATCTCAATATGCTTCATCCTCCCATGTAGTACAGAGTCAGAAGCGAACTAAATAGTAGATCGATTATCATAACATAATGTAGATGAAAAAGTCACTGAAAATCCTAACTCACCAAGAATCAATCGTAGCCAGATAATCTCACATGTGCCAAGTGCTATTGCCTGATACTCTGCCTCTCCCGACGAGCGAGAAACAACAGACTACTTCTTGCTCTTTTAAGAGATAATATGAGTCCCTCAAAAGGCACAAAAGTTGGTAGTAGATCGACCGCCACATGCTCCTGCATAATCTGAATCTGAATAACATGTTGGAGAACCTGTCTGAGATCCTGATGCATAGAACAACTTAAGTCCAAGACAAGACTTGAGGTATCGAAGAATATGATAAACTGTATCAAGATAAGGCTGACATAGCCTATGCATGAACTGATTAACTCGGTTGACAGCAAATGAAATGTCTGGCCTAGTATTGGCTAGGTAGATAAGTTTACCTTTCAACCTCTGATAAACAGCCGAATCCCTCAACTCTTCACCTTTAGCAATAAGTTTCAGGTTTGAAATCATGGGCGATGAAGCCAGTTTGCACCCCCAACATCCCAGTATTTGAGAGAAGATCAAGATCATACTTTCTCTGAGAAAGAACAATACTCTTGCTATTACGAGTGACCTTAATCCCATAAAAGTATCGCAGAAATCCAAGGTCCTTCACATCAAAGGCCTTCCTAAGGTCTATTTTGACCTGCGGAGTCCTTGAAACATTATCTCTAGTAATAATAATATCATCAAGATATACTAAAAGGATGACACACTGTCTAGAAGTATTCTGTTGAATGAAGCATGTATGATCAGAATGGCATCTAGTGAATCATAAACGTACAATTACACCACAAAAGCGAGAGAACTGGGCTCGTGGAAACTGTTTCAGTCCATAAAGAGACTTACGCCGTCGACATACCTTTCTAGCATACTCCCCTTACTATGAAAGTCTGATGGTGCATCCACATAAATAATCTCCTCTAAATCACCATGAAGAAATACATTCTTTATATCCAACTGATGAAGAGATCAAGAGTAATCTACATCCAGAGAAATAATCAATCAAACAATAGTCAATTTTATCATGAGTGCAAAAGTAGCACCAAAATCACGACCTGGTACCTGAGTAAAGTCTTTCGCCACAAGCTTAGCCTTGTGACGATCAATAGTACCATCCGCAAGAAACTTCAGGGTGTAAACCCATCGACAACCAATAGGCTCCCCCTTTAAAGGTTAAGAGACAAAATCACATGTATGACTATGCTGAAGAGCGTTCATCTCTGTCTACATGGCAAGATCCTATTGGGGCTCCCATATAGCCTCTAAAATAGAGCGAGGAACTGGCATATCTGAAAAGATTATACTATAAGCTCGAAATGTAACAGACAGATCTCCATAAGAAACATAAGCAAAGATCGAACATAAAATCATGGTGGTCCAACCATAATAAACAACTGGACGATGATCACGTCGCTGATAACGACGCCCTAAATCATCATCCTCCACTGACAATGTCTCATTAGGTAAAATAACTAGCTTAGTACCTACAATTTCATAAGTACTATTAACATGTGCATCAATATGCTCAACGA